ATGCATGTCTGCATGTATGTCTGTATGTATGTATGTATGTTTGTCTGTATGTCTGTCTGTATGTGTGTATGTATGTATGTATGTATGTATGTATGTATGTATGTATGTATGTATGTATGTATGTATGTATGTATGTATGTATGTATGTATGTATGTATGTATGTATGTATGTATGTATGTATGTATGTATGTATGTATGTATGTATGTATGTATGTATGTATGTATGTATGTATGTATGTATGTATGTATGTATGTATGTATGTATGTATGTATGTATGTATGTATGTATGTATGTATGTATGTATGTATGTATGTATGTATGTATGTATGTATGTATGTATGTATGTATGTATGTATGTATGTATGTATGTATGTATGTATGTATGTATGTATGTATGTATGTATGTATGTATGTATGTATGTATGTATGTATGTATGTATGTATGTATGTATGTATGTATGTATGTATGTATGTATGTATGTATGTATGTATGTATGTATGTATGTATGTATGTATGTATGTATGTATGTATGTATGTATGTATGTATGTATGTATGTATGTATGTATGTATGTATGTATGTATGTATGTATGTATGTATGTATGTATGTATGTATGTATGTATGTATGTATGTATGTATGTATGTATGTATGTATGTATGTATGTATGTATGTATGTATGTATGTATGTATGTATGTATGTATGTATGTATGTATGTATGTATGTATGTATGTATGTATGTATGTATGTATGTATGTATGTATGTATGTATGTATGTATGTATGTATGTATGTATGTATGTATGTATGTATGTATGTATGTATGTATGTATGTATGTATGTATGTATGTATGTATGTATGTATGTATGTATGTATGTATGTATGTATGTATGTATGTATGTATGTATGTATGTATGTATGTATGTATGTATGTATGTATGTATGTATGTATGTATGTATGTATGTATGTATGTATGTATGTATGTATGTATGTATGTATGTATGTATGTATGTATGTATGTATGTATGTATGTATGTATGTATGTATGTATGTATGTATGTATGTATGTATGTATGTATGTATGTATGTATGTATGTATGTATGTATGTATGTATGTATGTATGTATGTATGTATGTATGTATGTATGTATGTATGTATGTATGTATGTATGTATGTATGTATGTATGTATGTATGTATGTATGTATGTACCAAAGTGTTTCATGGATCATGGCATATTGTGCTATGACTTTTTTTAGATGGAGAAATTAAAATAAAATTGACAAACGGAGCTGGTGTCGTATTGTGGTGATGGTGTCGATCTCTGAAATTCCTTGTTAGTAGTCCCTATCATTAAGACATCGCAGGAACACCCTGTCACTGAAGGTACTTTTCAGTTTGCTCACTACTATTCGTGGGACACCTAAGTCGCTCGATGTTTTTCTACATTGTGACACCTTAAGTAGGTCAGTGTACTTCCGAAGTGGTTCACCCAAGTTCCTTTGTAAGTCCTCCACTATCCGTAGGACATTTGAGTAATCAGTCCACAGTTTAAGTCTTTTACTGCACTGATCTTGATAAGAAGCTCACTAAAGCACCTTAGTAAGTTACCCATTATCATTCGTACACTTTAAGAAAATATATGTACTTCTTCTCTGAGATATTACTCGAAGTTTTGCTTCTTTGAGACCCTTAAGTCGCTCAAGGTACTTCTCAAGTCTGTCAAAGGTCTTGCCAAGTCGTTCCCTGAAATTTCATAGTAACCAACCAGAAAAGTACAGTGAGCGACTTATGGTGTCCCTGAACCCTAAAACCCCTCATGCAGCTAGACGACACGACACCAACCGCAGTTATCCTAAGTTTTCTATTTCATCAACATCATGTAGCAGGTCCTTTGCAGAACGTCGCTCTCATCACGGTCTGCCTGAAAAAAACTCGGATTTTCGCCAGTTCTCCTGCCTCATGTACTTTCATACTCAAGGAGTCACTTATATCCTGTGCCCATCTTCGTGTTGGTCGGCCCTTGTCCCTCCTTCCTGGTACCATGTCTTCTGTTAAAATTTTTTCCAATTCGTCGTGGCGCTTGATATGACGAAAATATTTCAGCTTCCGAGACAGGATGCTGTTTATTAGCCAATCTTCCTTGATGTTCAGATCTTTTAAGATCTCAGTATTTCACCTTTTCTTTGTCAAAGATATTCTGAAAATCTTTCTATAGCATTTCAGCTCAAAGGTCCCTATTCTCTTTCTTAAGGACTGAGAGATAGTCCACGACTCACATCCTTTGTAGCCACAGGAAAGATGCATGATCTCAAAATTCTAATTTTGATCTCCTTGCTGGTGCTTAGCCATAGAATTTTAAGACTGTGTAATCTTTGCATTGTTATGGCCATCCTACTTTTAATTTTTGCCAGTCTCCATTGTTGTTTATTATAGAGCCGAGATATTCAAAAATGTGAAGGCCATCGCACAATAAGTCTTATGAGTCACATGACTAA